GCAAATATTTTCTTCCTTTCTGTATGGTGTTTTTTCACATTGATACTGCCTTTTTGTGTAAAACTGTTTGAACGGTTCCCTCTGTTCCATTTTATCTATTTTTTCTTTTGTTGCTTGTGCTTTTGGTGTCATATCTAAGAATCCATTGTCCAATCTATGGTCATGAAGATTCACCTCTAAGTTTTCTTCTGAGAGTTTTATGGTTTTAGATGTTATATTTAGGTTGTTGACCTATGTGTAGTTAATTTCCATATAGGGTGTGAGGTACAGGTACAGATTCATTCTTTTGCATATGGATATCTAGCTGTCTCAGCACCATTTGTTGAAGAGACTTTTTCCCATTGAGTTGACTTGGCACCTTTGTCTGAAATCATTGATGATGGATGGGTTTATTTTTGGTCTCTCATATCTATTCCTATATGTCTATCCTTTTGCAGTGCCACACTGTTTTGATTACAGTAGTTTTGTAATAAGTTTTTAAATTGGGACTGTGAGTTCTCTGACTTTGTTCTTTTTCAAGATTGTTTTGGCTTTTCAGGGCTGCTTGCTTGCCTTCACTTGTTTTGAAGGATTGTCTTCACCAATTACAGTGTTCTAAATCACCAGTTATTTTCTTTAAGTGTTTTGAAGATATTCTAGCTTTTACTGTTTGGATGGAGAAATTGGCTATTGGTCTGGTTGTTCTCCTTTGAGGATAATCTGTTTCCTCTCCCCCACCCTGAGCTATTTTAAGATTTTTCTTGTTGTCTTTGGTATATGGCAATTTTACTATAATGTGTTTGAGTGTGATTTTCTTTGTACTTTGTTGTTCTTATAGCTTCTTGAATCTGTAGCTTGATGGCTTTCTTTAATTTTGTAGTATTTTCAGTTATTATTTTTTTTAAAGGTTCATTGTGCCACAATCTCTCTTGCTTTCTTTTTGGGACTCCAGTTATATTTACACACACACACACACACACACAGACAGAGGGTGAGGGAGAGAGAAAGAATGAAGCACAAGTGATTAAAACCACAGACTATATTTATTATGTATGGTTTATTGTAAAACTCCATCCACTGGATTATCATTTGAATTAATGAAATTTTCAGTTCCAGAATTTCCATTTAGGGATTTTTAAAAAATAGTTTAAAATCTTTCTGCTCATATTCTCAAGCTCATCTTTTTTTAAAATAAAATATATTTTCATTGATTTTTTTTTTTTTTTTAGAGAGAGAGGAAGGAAGATGGAGAGAAAGAGATAGAAACATTGATGAGAGAGAAACATGGATCTGCTGGCTGCCTCCTGAATGCCCCCTACTCGGGATCGAGCCTGCAACATGTGCTCTGACTGGGAATCAGACCTCATGACTTCTTAGTGCATGGGATGACAATCAACCAACTGAGCCATATTGGCCAGGCTCAAGCTCATCTTTTATTATCCCAAAAATATTAAACATCATTACAACTCCACCATTGCAGATGCCTGGTAGATCTCTTTCTGTTAACTGTTGTTTTTCTTGGTTTTCAGTCATATAGTCTTGTCTTTATCTATGCTTGGTTATTTTTGTTTGACAGATATTGATTATAAAATACAATTATAATTTGAGCTTTGCAATGGTGTTCTCTCTGTTCTGTTCTTTTTGTTCTCTTCCTTCTTTCTTTGTTTTTTCTGTCCTTTGTTTTCTCTGTTCTCGGTTCCCTCTGTTCTTTCTTTGCTCCCTTTGTTCTCCATAGAGGGCTGAAATGTGCTCTGGCAGAGAGCGAGGGTCATTAGCAATCCCCGATCACTTTAAATAAGTCTGGGAATGAGATTATTTGAAGTTGGCCTTCAGTCCCTCCAAGGGATAGTCTTAGAGTTGGTTCCTCCTCTCACTTAGGATCAATACATTTTGAGCCCCAGTGTGGATCTCTTAGCCCCTCAAATCTGTCCAAAGCTCTGTTTAGCTTTTTAGTTTTACGGCCTCTTCTACCAGAGCCAGCAGGTGCCTGGAGGAGAAAAAGTTGCTCTATATGCTTAGTTCAACTTTTTGGGTTTTCCTCTTCTCCCAGATACAGGCATACTTTGGTCATATTGGGGGTTCAGTTGTAGACCACTGCAATAAAGTGAGTATCACAATAAAGCGAGTTACATTAATATTTGGTTCCCAGTGCATATAAAAGTTATGTTTACACTATACTTTTTATTCTATTAAGTGTGCAATAGTATTATGCCTAAAAAAAAAAAAAAAAAAACCCCAAAAAACCAATGTACATAACTTAATTAGAAAATACTTTATTGTTGCCCAGCTGGTGTAGTGGTTGAGCGTTGACCCATGCACCCAGAGGTCATCAGTTTGATTCCTGGTCAGGGCACATGCCCAGGTTGTGGACCAAATCACCAGTGGGGGCATGCAGGAGGTGGCCAGTCGATGTTCTCTCTCATCAATATTTCTATCTGTCTCTCCCTCTCCTTCTCTCTCTAAAATCAACAAAGAAAAAAAAAGAGAAAGATAATACTTTATTGCTAAAAATGCTCACCATTATCTGAGCCTTCAGCAAGTTGTAATCTTTTTGCTGGTGAGGGTCTTGCCTTGATGTTGGTGGCTGCTGACTGATTGTGTGGTGGTTGTTGAAGGTTGTGTGGCTGTGGCAGTTTCTTAAATTAAGACAGTGAATTTTGCCGCATCGATCGACTCTTCCTTTCATGAATGATTTCTCTGTAGCATTCGATGCTGTTGAATAACATTTTACCCACATTAAGATTTCTTTCAAAAGTGGAATCAATCTTTTCAAACTCTTGCTGCTGCTTTATCAACTAAGCTTATGTAATATTCTGAATCCTTTGTTGTCGTTTCAACAGTCTTCACAGCATCTTCCCCAGGAGTAGAGTCCATCTCAAGAAACCACTCTCTTTGCTTGTCCACAAGAAGCAACTCCTCATTGGTTATAGTTGGATCATAAGTCTGCAGAAATTCAGTCCCATCGTCAGGCTCCACTTCTAATTCTAGTTCTTTTTTTTTTTCTTTATTGATTTTAGAGAGAGAGGAAGGGGGAGGGAGAGAGGAGAGAGAGAGATAGAAACATAGATGAGAAAGCCACAAATCTACAATTTGTAAAAGACCCAATGTCTGTGAAGCTCAGTAAAGTACAGTACAGTAAGATGAGATATACCTGTCTCTGTTGGCATCCCTGCTGGCAGTTTGGTTGGATATATACTGAGAAGTGGAATTGCTAGATTATATGGTCATTCTGTGCCGCCTTTTGAGGAAACGCCATGCTGTTTCCTTGGTGCTTCATCAGTTTACATCCCTCCCTGCAGTGCACAAGAGTTCTCCATGTCCTTGCCGACACTTGTGTTGTTTTTTTTTAATCCTCACCCAAGGATATTTTTCTGTTTATCTTCAGATAGAGTAGGAGGAAGAGAGAGGGAAAGAGAGAGAAACATCGGTGTGAGAGGGACACATCGACTGGTTGCCCTCCCGCATAACCCCAACCAGGCCTGCAACTGAGGTACATGCCCTTGGCCAGAGCTCTGTGTTGTTTTTTGACATTAGCCATTCTAATTGGTGTAAAGTGATTTTTTAAAATAGTTTATTTAGCCCTGGCTGGTTTGGCTCAGCGGTTAGAGCATCGGCCCTGGACCAATGACTCTCGGGTTTGATTCAGGCCAAGGGCACATACTTTGGTTGCGGTTTGTCCCCAGCCTTGGTCGGGTTGTTCAGAAGGCAACCAGTAATTCTTTCTCTCTGTCTAATGATAAATAGAAAAATATCCTTGGGTGAGGAATTAAAAAATAAATTAAATAAAATAGTTTATTTAGCTTTTCTAGTTCTCAGCAGGCGGGTGGATCCAGAAGTGAAACCCTCTGTCTTATTTTTGCACCTATCACAGTGCTCTACACACAGCGGGCGCTTAAAACACAGGTGAAGGGAGGAGAGAAGGTAGAGAAAATGCTCTGAAGACAGGTGGTACGCAGATATAAGATGCCAGTTATAGATAGCATAGAATAAGTGGTAAGTCTTGGCTTCTGGATTTAGAATGACCTGGGTTTGAAGCTGTGTGACTTTCAGCAAGTTATTTTACCCATGTTGAACAAGAATACTATTTTCTGATAGAATTTTATTTTATGTAAAGCAGATTACTAGACTAAGACTCAAAAACTGTGTAATGGGAGGCAGGGATTTGGGGGACTGGGTGAAAGAGGTGAAGGGATTGAGAAAAACATATGGGTAGTTACAAAATAGTCGTGGGGATGTAAAGTACATCACAGGGATTATAGTCAATAATATTGTAATAACTGTGCATAGTGTCAGGTGGGTACTGGAAATATCAGGGGGAACACTTTGTAAAGCATATGATTGTCTAACCGCTATGCTGTACACCTGAAACTAATACAAAATAATATTAAAAGTAAACTGTAATTGAAAAATAAATCATGTTTATTTGTTTGGGAGCTGGTAAAAAGAGAACAATAACAATACCTCTACCAAGATGAATTGTCTGTTGTTAGGATAACATGAGATAATGTAACAAAATGTTTCTGGCATTTAGTACTCAGTAAATCTTAGCCATTGTTTTCTGCAGTTGGGATTTTTTTTATTTTTTTATCCTCACTCGAGGACATTTTTCCATTTTTTTGCTCAGATAGAAGGGAGAGAGAGGAAGAGAGAGCGAGAGAAACATCGATGGGAAAGGTACACATCGAGTGGCTGCCACCCGCACGACCAACCAGGGCCAGGGACAAACTGCAACCGAGGTACGCGCCCTAAGCGGGAACCGAACCCGGGTCTCTCTAGACTGCAGGCCGATGCTCTAACTGCTGAGCAAAACTGGCCAGGGCTAGTTGGGATTTTTGTTGAGTCTTTGAATCAAACATGCTACTGAGTTTGCTGATTGAAGTCCTGAGTCTAAAGTTAGCTTGTCTTTTCCCAAAGACATTCTCTGTGATATGGTTTCCATTGCAGACTGTATTTGCTTACATAAAAATGGAGCATTACCTCCGTCACCACTTACTGCTCATTTGGTTTTTCTTGTTCTCTAGGACTCTGGTTAGGAGTGGAATGGGACAATCCCGAGAGAGGCAAGCATGATGGAAGGCACGAAGGGACTGTGTATTTTAAATGCAGGTAATTTTTCATTATGAATTGGCATTGTTATTTAGGATAATATTTAATAGTTGAATAAGGGGACTGGAGAAGTGTTTGGCTCAGGTTAGTTCTGTAATGTAGAATGTGGTGTATTCTAAAAAGACAATTGTATTTGTAGAGTTTTTTTTCATGTTTTTAAAACTGACTCTTAACCTTACAAGTGGGATTGCTTTCTGTGTTTTTGTTTTTTCAGTTTTAAAACAATTGGATGAATGTAAATGTTTCTCATTGATTCATTAACAATTTACAGTCCAGTCCTGGCTGGTATGCTCAGTGGTTGGAGCATTGGCCCATGCATCGAAAGGTCACAGGTTTGATACCTGGTCAAGGGCATGTATCTGGGTTGCAGGTGTGGGAGGCAACCTAACGATGTGTCTCCCTCACATCAGTGTCCCCCCCCCTCCCCCATTCTCTCTAAAAAATCAGTGGAAAAAATATCCTCAGGTGAGGATTAAAAATAACAAACCAATTTAGAATCCATTAAATGAATAATAGAAACGAGAACTAGCCTAGATATCCGGTAAGAAGCAGTGATTAAACAAAATACAGAACCTCCAAAAGTAGAATGCCGTGCCACTATTAGAAAAGCTTGTTCTTGTCCTGAAAGTGTCACATACTAAGTTACGTATCCACGAATATTCGTAAGTGTTCGACTCTCGAGGAACTGTATGGAAGCTCTGAAGAGGATGGTGGGACTTTCAGGCCCAGTTTATCTTTAACATTTTTGTTGTTCTTTGTTTTCCTTAGGTTTTAGTTACTCAAAAGGATTTCTTTCCTTTTTTTTTTAAAGATTTTTTAATTTTATTTATTTTTTTAAATCCTCACCTGAGAATATTTTTCCATTTATCTTCAGACAGAGTGGCGGTGGGTGGAGGGGGGAGAGAAACATTGATGAGAGAGAGAGACACATCGATTGGTTGCCTCCTGCACGACCCAGACCAGGGCCAGGGATGGAACTGCAACCAAGGTCTGTGTCCTTGGCCGGAATCAAACTCGAGACTCATCAGTCCTCAGGCTGATGCTCTAACCGCTGAGCCAGACTGGCCAGGGCAAAAGGTTTTCTTATTATTAAGCTTATTTTTCTTTAAATGTGGTTCAGTGAACACAATCCTGACCTGGATATCAAAAGGCCCCTCACTCTGCTTTAACAATCTTTATGACCCTGGACAAGACTAAATTTACTAACTTCTAAAATGAAGGTCATAATTAAATAATAGCAAAATGTGTTTCCTAGTCCACCACGCTGCAATTTTAGAAAGCTGGGACAGAAGAAGAATCAGCTTGCTCCTGCAGGCCAGCCGCACCGGCAGGAGTGGCGCCAGCTCAGAATCTGTCCAGAATGCATGGACAAGGGAAGTGTGGAAGCAGAACTGCTTAGCCTGGCCTGTTGACCCCTTCCCTTCCCTTCCCTTCCCTTCCCTCAGGGAAGAGCCCTTTCCTGTGGAGCCTGCCCCAGCACACTTCCCTCTCCCAGAAGCTTGCCTAGGTCATCCAGGAGTAGTGATCTCTGGATATGGTGTATTTTCAGCCTTGCTTTCTCTGAGTAGAAAACTTGATACTTGGTTCAATCCTGCTGACCTAGGATTTGCCTGGTAGTGCTGGTAGGAGTCTCAGGTCAGGGCATTGACTCTGTTGGAGTAAGCATTTCCATACCTTGTTCTGTCTTCCAGTGTAGTCATGCCTGAGCATTTACATATTGAAATATATGTCTTATTATAAATTACTTTTGTTTTATTAAAATGGGTATTTTGTCGACTCTAAAGTCCTGTATGAGTAGGTAATGTTATCTGTAGATTCCATTTCAGGGTATTTGGGGAGCAGTATCAAAGGGAGCATCAGTGTGATGTGGTAGAGACCACTGGGGTGACGAAAGGCATTGCCTGTCCTTCATGGCTGTTAATGAACATGTTGTCTAGAACATAACTTCAACCAGTAAAGGTTGTACCACTGTCTTAGAATCTCTGAATCAGAGAAAACAGATTTACACCACATGCATTTTTTATTAAGCTAAGTCAGCTCTCTTACTAATATGTCACATATGCTTCTTCCCTTTTAAGAAGTTTTTTTATATTTCAGATTTTACTTGGAAAGTCACAATAACTAGATAAGTATTTTACCACAGTAAACATTTTTTATGTTCAGATGCTATTTTCATGAGGCCAAAACAATTTAAAGTTGTCAGGTCATACATTTTTACATCTTATGCTTGTGAAATTCGTAAATGGCAAAATGGTGGTGTATTCATTTTAAATAAGAAAAATATGAGTCAAAAGTTGTCATATCTTCAGAAGTGTGTGTTAATATCAAGTGGCTGAGTGTGTTAGATGTATAACAATGTAGCTTGCCTTATACCTTACTGTAAGGCTTTCAAGATATTGGGATGTACTGAGTAGGGTGTTTGGTGAGCTCAGCTTCTTGAGTCTCCTTAGCGTCTCAGGTTGGTGGAATGACACTCTGTTGTTCAGGGTTGGGTTCTGCTCTCTAGGAAAAACTTTAGAATAAACAGTGTGGTTTTCAGGGTCCAGCTCATGGAGTACATTCTTCCTTGTGCGTTTTCACCCAACGAGTTCTCCTCACGTTGATCTCATGAGACTCCAGTTAAGAAGAGAATACCATTTACAAGGGTCTAACCTCTGCTTTAACAATGACCTTAAGAAAGATACAGAATGGGCTTTAACCAAGGGAATATATCTTTTTACAGTCATCTTACAGTGTTTCCATATTTAATTATTATAAACTTTTGTTCCTTATTCTAAATATTTGTGGTGATTATGACAGGTACTGTCATAAGACAGCTACTGTCTTTCATTGATGACCAAATGCAGTAATAGGTTATGAGTATAGCAAGAAAAACTAGAGCTGGCTGTGGGCTCCTCCTCATTGTAGATTTCTCAAAATAGGGTAGATTTTCCTCTTGAATAGTTGGTGTGATGGGTCAGCAAAGGGTTGAGTGGCCCAGATCCCTTGTCAGGCCCCTCTAAAGTTGGGTTTTGATCATTTGTCTGATCTTTTCTCTTGTATAATCTGAGGTAAATATGGCAGTCTCCTGAGCTGTTATTGCCCTAAGCAATATTTGTGATGCTATCAACGAAGAGTTTCCAGGTTAACCCAATACTCATGACTGGGAACCAGTCACTTTCGGGTCTCCCAGGTGCCCGGTTCTCCATCCTGCTCTTGTGGGACTTAGGGGCCCAGTTAAGGCGATTAACCTTGAAGTTCTTTCCACCTTGTCCCTCAATAGCAGAGTGATTTCCAGGTTTTTGTTTTTAAAATTTCAACCTAAATTAAAGTGTATACTCCAAACAGAACTGTATAGATAGGTATTCTACCACTCTGCTTTTTTCTTTTATTAATAGATCTTTAAAAAAAAAATTTTTTTTTTTTTTTTTTTTATCGATTTCAGATAGAGAAGAAGGGAGAGGGAGAGAGAGAGAAACATCGATGAGAGAGAACATCGACTGGCTGCCTCCCGCACGCCCCCCACTGGGGATCAGGCCCACAACCTGGGCATGTGCTTGACTAGGAATCGACCTGGGACCTCTTGGTACATGGGTCAATGCCCAACCACTGAGCCACGCTGGCCGGACCACTCCACTTTTATTTAAAATGCTCTCTTTTGGCACATCTCCCTCTGGTGAGTGTGCCCACGCCTTTCCTCCCCCCGGGGCCCTTCCCCTGCCTCCGTGACATGTTCCTGAGCCTGACCAGCCCAGCTGGCTTGCCTCTGCTTCCTCTTGTGACTTTCTCAGTAAACTTGGTCTTATAATTTGAAATAAACAAATAAAATGTTCTTTTTTCAAGCAATTACATGATTTCTCTTTTCTTGTGAACAAGAAATCTCAAAATCTTATTGTACTTCACTACTAGTGAGCAGAACCTAACTTGAATTCTTACATCAGAGGGGACATACCGTTCTAGACTGTGTCCAAAATACTGAATAACTTAAAAAATGGAAAACCCTTGATGTACCTATCTCTGTGTGTCAAAAGATTGTTTTAAAGTGTGCTGAGGTTCTTGAATGGATTAGTATGAAATATTCTCCTGGTATGGTGTAAAGTGTTAGAAGAATTTTTAAAAAATCACTAAATGTACTGACAATATAAGGGCAGGGACATTTCTGCAAAAGGTGAAGAGAGCAATTTCACTTTTGTGTGTGTATATGTGTATTTTATTTTAAAATTTTGTTTAAATTACAGTTGACATTTAATATTAATTTATGTTAGTTTCAGGTGTACAGCATAGTGGTTAGACAATCATATACTTTACAAAGTGACTCTCCTGATAATTCTGGTACCTACCTGGCATCATTACATAGTTATTACAATATTGTGGACTGTATTCTTTATGCTGCACTTTACATCCCGTGACTATTTTGTAATTACCAATTTATACTTCTGAATCCCTTCACCTTTTTCACCCAGCCCCCCAACCCTCCTTCCCTCTGGCAAAACTGAGTTTGTTCTCTGTATCTGTGAGTCTGTTTCTGTTTTATTTGTTCATTTATTTTGTTCTTTAGAGTCTACATATAAGTGAAATGATATATTTGTTTTTCTTTGTCTGACTTATTTCACTTAGCATAATACCTTCTAGGTCCATCCATGTTGTCAGAAATTGTAAGATTTTATTCTTTTTATGGCTGAGTAATATTTCATTCTTTATATGTACCACATATTCTTTTTCTTTTTTTTCATTGATTTTAGAGAGAGAAAAAGTGAGAAGGAGAGAGAGATAGAAACATTGATGAGAGAGAACATGGATTGGCCACTTCCTGCATGCCCCCCACTGGGGATCTGGTCCACAACCTGAACATGTGCCCTGACCAGGAATCAAACTGGCGACCTCTTGGTGCATGGGTTGGTGCTCAACCACTGAGCCACACCGGCTGGGCTGTACCCCATATTCTTTATTCACTCGTCTATTGATGGGCACTTGGCTTGCTTCCATATCTTGACTATTGTATGTATATAATGCTGCAATGA